GGCCATTTTATGGTGGTTTAAATTTGGTTAATCATCATTCTTTCTAAATTTCCCAAGTTTAGTATCTTTAAGATACTTCTTCTCAAGATCATAGCTTTTTACCTAGAAATCCTAATGAGGAGTTCTACCTTCCGTTTTGAAGAGCTCACCAAGAAATATAGCTTGGAGTCAAAATCTAGTAAAAAACATTGCCAGAGGGCATGTTTCTGGTGGCCTAAATTTGGTTGACATCCACTCTATTACAATCTAAAATTAACTTAATTTTCAATCTACAAATCCAAATGCTATTTTGTTGGGATTCTAATGGCATGGGGCTTCAATTAAAATCATTTTTCTTACTGGAAATGAACGCTCAACAAAAAATCCTAATTCTTTGTTTAAAATTAATCCTAAAATGCAAGAGAAATCACAACTCAGTGATTTAAGGAAAAAATAACTTGCCTAGATGATTGCTTGCAGCAAAGATCTCAATCTAAATCAATCCTTCTTTAAGTCTCTGAGGCCTGAACCCCTCCTTTGTCTAAAAGAAAAGATAAAATTTTCTCAAGTTTCAAAGAAGAAAGAAAAAAAAAGTCCTACATTCGAAATTAGTCTTTATATGTTTTTCTTTTTATTTTGTTGCTAAAAAGTCCCTCCAAGTTGGGAAAATTATAGGGTAGCCCCCTGAAACCAAATTAAGTAAATATTATTGTTTTTTTGGTATTTTACAAACTTAAAGTCTTACTTCCTAGAAACAATGTGTTTTATAGAGCAAGATGCTAACACCCAATAGTAAGTTCATTCATCTTCAAGTCCCTAGTTGGAGACCATTTCCATGGTTCCAAGAATCCACGATACATTGAATATTCAAAAGAAGTAAAAATTGGAGTTAAAGATACGATGGATTTACATATAGAAATGAACAAAATTTTAGTCGACCAATTTCAAAAGAAGGGAATTTTAGTCAAAAAAAAAGTTTAGAAATTATGGGAACTATTCCCACTTTTTGTAGTAATACAGATTCAAATTGTGAAAAATCTATCTATACTACTTATAAAAGTGTGAATGAAGTTGTACTTTCTAAAATTTTTGTTGGACATGATTAACCCTTTGATCCTGAACTCTCTTAAAAACAAATTTGTATTTTAATAGAAAAGCTTAAATTGAGATGGTTTAAAGTTATAGTAGTGTATTGTTCGTGAGAGTAAAAGCTATGCATACCACTTAACTCCATCATAAAAATGTTCCTCCACAGATGGAGTTAAGCTTTTCTACTGTAACTTAACTCCCCATAAGCTAAAATATAAAGCAAAGTTACAGTACAAATAGAAGCAAAAACTAAGTTCATTCATAGAAAAATTAGAAAAACGTCGTTTCATAGCTACGTGAGTCATATCTAACGTCTCCTGGTCTTTAGTTTCATATCTAACTATAAATAGAAACTGATCTTTAGTTTCTCATCCATTATTTGCTACATTGTAATTTATTGTATAAAAAATTAAAATGTTGTTTGTATTAAACTTTGGAAGGAAAGATAGAACCCATAAAAAGTGGGTCCCTTATATCACTCCATGAAATCAAGGCCACTATCAGCCCTGAAGCAAAAATCCCTTACATCATCAGTCATCAATGCATGGATTTGAATATATACGCTATAGTGACTCTGTGAGGAACTTGGTGTTCTAACCAACATTCCATTGGGAACAATCCCTCTACATGAAGAGAGTAAATACAACAGCGTGGATCAGTCCCATCAAATATATTAGAGTCGTGTTGGAGTTTTGTAAAGGGATCTTCTTGCTTATCTTCATTTACAAAGTAAAAACAACGAAAACATAGAAAGGGAATATTGCAATTTAGTGGAGGGAATTTTGGATACATCTATTGAAAAATCATTGTAATGTCACCTAAATAATCAATAGATTGCATAAATGAGCCCAATGCAGGATTACCAAACTTAGTGTGTGACCTCACCACATGTCCATGCATCTTGTATCCATAATCAACATGAAAACTAAATTGCCCTTTCTGTACTGGGTAAATTGTTCAACAATTTGTCTCCAATGGGTCAACCAATGATCTTATAGTTAAATAATAAAAGTTTAAAAATACATAAAAATATGAAAAGTTACAGCAATTTTGTAAAAAATTAGGCACATATCTAATATTATATATTTATCATATTAAACAAAAATAAGTTTGATAAATAATAAGTATTTTTATTAATGCTGAAAATGAAATAAAAAAATTAAAACTAACCTAGAAATGAAACTATTTTCCGATTCAAGTGGTGGGTCAATGGATCAAGCTTTTAATCCAAATGGGTAAACCCATGATGTCATAATTAAATAATAAAAAATAAAAAAATAAAAATTATAGAAACTTTGTAGAATAAGTTTGATGGATAAAAAAATCATACTCACTTGAAAGGAAAATTGCTTTTGCATCTAATTGATGGTTAATGATCCATATGGTGCAGCTTGGGAAAGCTTAACTTGAACCCAAATTGTCAAAGCTTGCAATTTTGGATAAGTTGGTTTGGATTTTCGATCCTTGAATTGGGCCTAGGCCTAGGCCCAAAAGTTTGGGCTTTTTTGTTTTTTGGGTTGGGCCCAAGCCAAACCCTTGGATAAACCAAGTCAAGCTTGACTATATACATGCATACATATATAGATACATAGTTGCATGCACAGATGCATAGCCCAAGTCCAAATCCAATTCAAGTGCACCACTTCAAGGTTATTGGGCCTAGGGTGGATAAACTAGGCTCGATTTTAGGCTTGAGCCTAACGCCTAATGCAAAGGGGGTAGGACTGGGTTCAGCTTAAACTCAGCCCAACTTACCTGACTTGCACTATAATGGCCCAATCGTTAAGGTAAAATAGGTCAACTGATGATGTCATAATTAAATAATAAAAGTTTTAAAAGAAATAGAAATACAAAAAATTACAAAATGCATAAAAGTTATAGAAAATTTCACATATGTAAAATATTATGAATTTATCATATTGAACAAAGATAAGCATGATAAATAGGAATTATTTTTTGAATCAATTATGGAAATGAAATAGTAAATTTAAACTTTCCAAAAAAATGAGATTGTTTTTTCTTTCAAGTTAAATATGTTGATCCATGATGTTGTAACTATATGATAAAAACATAAATAAAATAGAGATAAATAAAGAATTATAGAAAACAGAAAATTTTGTCAAAAAAATTTGTGCACATCTCTAATATTTATCATATTAAACAATAAGTAAATATGATAAATAAGAAGCATTTTTATTAATAATGAAAATGAAATACAAAAATTATAAATCCACTAGAACACCATGTTTTGATGACTTATAACGAATTTTGATAAGAATACTAAAATTACTATTGTTATCTAAAATTGTCACGTGCAACAACGCACGTGCACATTTGAAGTGGATACTTACCTTGATTTTGGTGCATGTCATAAAAATTAAATCCAAATACCATATATTATGAATCATGCATTTTGTATTTGTACCAAACATATTTGTATTTGCATTATTTTCAAAAAAAAAAAAAAAAAAAACACATTTGTATTTTTGCTTTTCCCAAACGAGCCTTTCGGCTGTATTTGGTTGCAATGCAAATAAATCTGCAACTGATACAAAACTATGGCAGTGCAAATGATTTGAGTGTAAATTCTAACTTATTTTTGTTTCAAATTTTAACTTATCTTGTTTGATTGCAGTAAAAATAAAATAAATTAAGACATGAAGCTGAATAGAATAAAATTAATGAGAATTTGCATTTTCTTTTATTTGCACTCCTATGTTTTTATATTAGTGAAAATAAAATTGCAATGCAACCAAACACATCTTTAAGATTAATAAGATTGCTCTCCCACTCCCACAACCGGCCACAAGCGACTGTTAGTCTGTTTATTACAAATTATGGGAGAAGAGAACTTTGACCAATCAAATCACCGTGACTATTTCTCATGAATATCAGCTGATTTGCTACAACTTTTTTTTTTTTTTTTTATTATTCCAGTCGATGGGTTGAAAGTTTTTCAGTAGATGCCTTTCCAACATCATAGTTAGGCCCATAAAAGTATAATTCCTATATAATTTATGTTTCTTCTTCCGTTTATAAATTTATGAAAATACAAAATAGTTCCAACATTTAGAATATCAAAGAACTTCACTTATTAAGAATTGAAAAAAAAGAAAAAAGAAAAATGGTTTGGACATTTCAAACTTAAAATTGTTTTTAGAACTTTGTTGCTTCAGATTCATCAAAACTACCAAAGCTAGAAAGACAGAAAAAGGAGATGCTGGTGGAAGAGAAGTTATTGATCCATCATACAAGTGGGATAGTGGGGAAAATTTAAAGCGTATGAAGTGAAGCATCCAGCCAATTGAATTGGTAAAGATAAAAGGTCAATGGAATGTTGTGGCATTGAGTGGATTCCCATCTGATGTCACAAAAAATGCTTTTCTTGTCTGGAGCCCACTTTAAATCAAAATGCCTTTAAAGGTTTTGACACCATTTGCAGTGCGCCTCTTGTTTGGAGCCCACTAGTATCATTCTGTTGCATTTCTGTTCCGAGTTGGGTCAGCCACGAGTGAGTAATAGCGGTCTGGAATGGTCAATGTGTTGCCACGTGGAAAATTAGAATAGGTGATCGAAATATGTATCTGATATGCCACTTGGCAAGACAGGATTTGATGTTTAAGGTAGTTTGCTTGTGAAAATAAAATATATGGAACCGAATTAACACAAAATGAAAAGGAAAAAATCTTGGGGTTTTTATAGTTCACTAGTTCAGTCCACCCTTAGGGTGGAGATAAGATTTTTGCCACGTGGCATTAAATTCGGACAACAAGAGTGAGTGGTGTGACTACCCACGCGGGACGCTCCTTGTCTACTAAATCACCTGACGAAAGCATCCACTCAGAGGTCCCAGACATTGCTTTTCTTTGACAGATGCCAACGATATCATTCGCGCAGAAGATCTTTCCACGTGGCATAAATCAGTCGACCGACAAGTAATACCAAACCGGAGTTCAAGCTTTTCGTTCACCTCTCTGCTTCAGACTTCAGCGTCCTGCGTCCTGCGTCCTGCGTCCCGCCACCGAGAGAAGGTAAAAAGAGCAAGCATAAGGTAGAGAAAGACAAAAACCAGGGAGCAGGTGAACTACTTGCTCCTGCTATTCTTTTAATGTATATGTCGTCTTGGAATTGTGATCAATTGGGGGATACCCGTTTGATCAATCTGGGAATAGAGTGTATTTTGATCAATTTAGGTAGTACCCATTTGATCAACCTGGGAATATAGTTTGTCTCAGGATCCAAATTTTGATTAAACTTGTGTCTATATGGCTTTTTTCCAGCTGAACCACCAAAAGCTTAGAAATTTGGGTTTTATAGTCTGGGTTTGAAAGAATTGATGCCTTTTCTGGTTTAATTCATAGTTTTTAGGGATTTATGTAGTGGGTTGTTGCTGTAAGTTGTGGATTTTATGGAGGGTTTTCAAGGCGGGAATCATCGCATGGAAGAGGATTCGCAGGTAAGGGTTTCGCAATCTGAGTTTAAGCCCACTGAGTGTATGCAGTTGGTGCAAAATGAAGCGGGTGTGGGAGACATTGCAACTGGGAGAACTCCAGATAAGAGTAAGAGGGATGAATGGAGCGAAGGTGGAGTCTTGAGCTTGCTCGATGTGTATGAGTCGAAATGGTTGTTAAGGAACCGTGCTAAGCTGAAGGGGAGTGATTGGGAAGAGATAGCTCGGCAGGTTTCTGGCCGTGGTTGTGGGACAAAATCTGTCAAGACACCCAACCAATGTAAGAACAAGATAGAATCCATGAAGAAAAGGTATCGGGCAGAATCAGCTCTTAACAACTCTGCTTCAGGTTCTTCTTGGCAATTCTATGCTCGGATGGATGGTTTGTTAAAAGGAAACTACTCTTCTCAGTCTAAGGGTCTGGATGGTTGTGCAAATGGGGCAGCCGAGTTGGGTCCGCATGCTTTGCCAAAGGTAGAAATGGATGATTCACAGCATGTTCTGAAACGTGTTAATGAAGCTGGAGCTGCCCATCCTCAGGTCATTGGAAAGACTCAAAATTGTGAGATCGTCGATGTGGAAGCCGATGGGCACATGCAAGATAGCAATCAAGATGATGGGTCTAACACAGTTCCTGACAATAGGAAGGAGAGTAGAGGTACAGATAGTGATTTAAGTACGCCCAGGAGCAAGACTGCAGATGGGACTGCCAAAGTCAATTCCTTAAAGCGAAGGAAGAGCTTAATAACTGATGTGGCTGAGAGTATAAGGTTACTAGCCCATTCAATTTTGAAGATTGAACAGGCAAGGATGGAAATGTATAAGGACACGGAGCGCTTGAGGGCAGAGGCAGAGATCAAGAGAAGCGAAATGGAACTTAAGAGAACAGAAATAATAGCTAAAACTCAGTTGCAGATTGCAAAACTTTTAGCTAGAAGACCATGTAAAAAAGTCAACAGTAGTGGCAGTTCATTATTGAGGCCCGAACCAACTATTCCCACAAACAAGAGGGAAGAAATGGTCAGTAATAATTTTTTATCTTTTTGCATTTCACTTCTTTTTAGTAACTCAAGCACATTATGTTTTCTTTAACTGGTTAGGAAATTTAAATTGTGCTAACGTTTCTTATGAATTTCTGTTGTACCATTGGTTTTGATAGATACCAAATATCTGTACTTTATGTCATGCCCTAAATCTAGTTTGTGGTTGTTGTAGAAACAGTGTTATGTGGATTCTCTCCTAAATGGATGAAGTTAAACAGACACACGTCAGATTCTGACACTCAATGGCCTCTTGAGGGATGCTTAGATGTAAAATGTTCTTTTTTCTCTTAGCTTATCTGACATTAATGAACAACTACTATACATGATTAATGCCACTTTTCCTATAAAATGTTACTTCACAACAAAGTTGACAGTTCAAAACTTTATTTGTATTTATGCATATGGCCTGTACCTTTAATTATCAAAAAAAAAGGCCTGTACATTTATATGTACATGCTGAAGACTTAGGCTTGCATGGGCTGAAAACTCCCCAAGAGACTGTAACATAATCTTTCTCCAACTCTCCTTGCTATGTACTAGGGAATAAGCTTAGGATAGAGTCATATCATCCCTAGTGAGAATATGCTGTCTAGTGATATCATATTTAGAATTCATCTGTGTGAGAAATTAAGGCAGTGTTTGGCAAGTCTTTCCACGTGGTCTTCTGGGTTTCGGCAAGATCAACAGACCGAAAATCAGTCTTTTTCCTTTTGGTAACGAAAGTCTGGAAAGGTGAGAAGACGCATGCACGGAAAGGCCCGAAAAGACCGAAAATTGCAAATTTCAGGAAGCTTCAAATGAAACTTTCTGGTCTTTCTGCATGATAGATAGCTTCCAAATGTGTTTTTAAAAGCCCGGTAGACCAAGCTGCTTAGCAAATGGTCTTTGTCTTTAAAGACAAGACCCCAAAAGCTCAATATGTCTCTTGGCCATCTGGGCTGCTGGAAGATCTTTCTAAAAAAAACTTGCCAAACAGCACATAAAAAAAACTCTGTTCTTTTCAACAAGTCTCCTACATGTCATGGCATCTTTTGGACTTTCTCACTCAATAGTCTCTGGATGGTTGATCTCCTTCCGGAGAGATCTCAAAGTAGAGAATTGATCTCTCCTTGCTCCAAATTGTTAAATGTTAATCTCATCCTACAGTTGATACACCCTAGCCACATTCAATGTTTGATAATTAGTTTCAACCACACCATCTCACATCTCCTTTGCTGTCTTCATCCACCAAAATTTCCTACTAATATGGGTAAGCATCTAATTGACCAATCATGACATTACTGTATACTTTTCTTGCTACCACTGGGCATATTTGAGGCTCTATAATATTAGCTCCTTGGGTTCCACCCATAATGTATTTAAGCTTTCCTTGTCCACCAATATGTAGCTTTACAGATTGTTCCTACTCCAAAAAATTGGCACCATCCACCCTTACTGTGGCTAAAGAGTAAACTCTGCTCAATAATGTGTGGGTCGTCATGCCCTATGAGGTTCCTGAACCTGAAGTCCCTAAAGCTAAACGCTTGTTAGAGAGAAAGAGAAGAAAGCTCAAGAGAGAAAAGTTGTTGGTCACAAGGCTAAGGTACATTGCCACCCTTGCTGCGGTAAGATTGGTGTGGCAGGAAAGAAGAACCAGTTGATTAGGGTAGAGGAAGTCCAAGACATTGATGAGGGGACTTTGAATGAGGTGCTACAGGTCATGTCCAGTGTCTTGACAGAGGTTGGAGGTGAGGCAGAGGTACATGGTTCTGCTGATGGTCGGCAGGTGGCTGAAGGGCAGATTTTAGAAGGGGTTATGGCTACCGCAAATGAGCCCCAGGGGTTGACGATGAAGGTAGGTAGTGATTCAAGTAAAGGATTAGAGGATGGATGGTTTCGGTATTGGAGGCTCAAAAGTGATGGTTGATATGGTGAGGGTGGGGAATAGAGATGGTTGTGGGTTGGAGGTTGCTTTTCACGGGGTGGGTGGGCTGTTTTGTTTGAGAATTTGGTTCAGCAGTGATCGAATGAGACTGCCTTGGAGAAGAATGTAGGGGAATGTTGTTTTATTGATATTAGGAGTAGAAGATTGCAGTGAGGCTGTCAACTTGATGGGGAAATGGTGGTTGGGAGAGGTGTAGTTGATGGTAGTGGGATATTGGCAACATAAAAGGAAAAATATAGAACTAAGCCCTTAATTGATGATGGAGAAGAGATGGTTGAGTCTGAGGTGGGGGATGATCAATTGGATGAGGTGTCATGGGTGAGACACATCTGATTGAAAGTTTCTATTACAGGGAGAAACTTAACTTCGTGCTAACGATTACTTGGAGAAAAGGTGGTTGATCTCTCCAGGAGGCTCTGCTCTCTGTAAAATTTCAATTACTCAGTACAAGATTAACAAATGCACTTGTCTGTAGGTTAGTGCCACTATCAATCTGCTCCCTTGTCCTTTAACCAATTGGGCTCCACAATTGCCTGAGTTGCTTTTGAGTCATTGAGTCTTCTCTCTTGAGATAGAAGAATTAGTAAACCCTAAGTGAAAGAAAAATCACCAAATAGGGCTTTTGGGCAAAGATGTCTTTTTTATTTCTTTTCTTTTTTGTTTTAAATTAATTTTAACTGCAACTTGCGAAGCTATTCAGGTTGAACAGTTCAACTGTTCAAGTCAGTAGTTCTTTAACCATTTCTATGAAACTGATTGGTTTTTGGGTCAAATGGTTCAACCGTTTGGGTCAATTCTACAAGCTGCCGTTGTATCAAGCCACTTGAGGCAAACCCAAACAAGTACATGTTTTAATACTATCACATTTTTCATTCTACAGCCAGTGCTTCGACAACCCCCATTTTTTCTAATATTGTTCATTCATCTTTTAATACAATACATTTTTCAAGCCGTTGTAGTTCTCTGGTTACTAAATTCTGGCAGAGAAGAGCAGAGGTAAGTCAGTTAAAGAATGGCGGTGATTCAGGTAGGGAGAGCAAGAGTGGCGGGATGACAAGAAAGAGATGGGTCTCCTGAATTCTAGAAAGTTCTCCTATTTTGTCTTTTGCTGATTTTGTCGTTTTATTATTAGTTTAGAAATTTTTGTAATTTCAAGTTGATCTGATTTTCTTCAAGTGTGAGTGCTTACCTGGTTCAAACTGATCTGGTTTGACTCGGGTTTACATTGAGTCAACTAGGTTTATGTTTTTATACAAGTCCATTGTCTCACATTAGGCCCTGTTTGGTTCAATTCTCATTCTTTCTCATTCTTACCCAAGATGAAATTCTAAAATGGAAAAGAATGGGTAAAAATAGGCAGAATGAGAAAATATTGCTATGAACCAAACAGTTTTTCCCTAAAAATAAATTCTTTTCAGACTGACAAGTGTCTTATGTTGCTCATTTTCATTCTTCATAAAAAAAAAAAAAATTGTGCCGTATTCACAATCCGCTAGCCTAGGTCTCCAATAGTCAATGTTTACCAATTGGCATAGATGTTTTGTAAAAGTACTTTCGTAAAAGTGATTTTATAAAAGTACTTCCATAAAAATTCTTTTATAAAAGTACTTTCGTAAAAGTGCTTTTATAAAAGTACTTTCATAAAAGTGATTTTATAAAATTGCTTTCATAAATGTACTTTTGTAAAAGTGCTTTCGTAAAAGTACTTTTGTAAAAGTACTTTTATAAAAGTGCTTTCGTAAAAGTGCTTTTGTAAAAGTGCTTTCATAAAAGTGTTTTCGTAAAAGTACTTCCATAAGTGTTTTCGCAAAAGTACTTCCACAAAAGTACTTTCGTAAAAGTGATTTTACAAGTGTTTTTGTAAAAGTACTTTTATAAAAGTACTTCCATAAAAGTACTTTCGTAAAAGTGCTTTTGTAAAAGTAATTTCACAAGTGTTTTCATAAAAGTACTTTCGTAAAAGTGCTTTAGTAAAGTACTTTTATAAAAGTGCTTTCGTAAAAGTACTTCCATAAAAGTGCTTTCTTGTAAAACTACTTTCATAAATGTGCTTTCGTAAAAGTGCTTTCTTGTAAAAGTAGTTTTATAAAAGTGATTTCGTAAAAGTAAACATCTACGACAATAGCTTTGTAGGTAGAGTTTCCTAAAAGAATGAAATGAGCAAGATGGGACATGATTATTTTTCATGCTGCATGCTAGTCAATTTTTGTGCTATGGGGCTGATTTTTCATTCTAAAAGGAATGTGGCCATTGGCAAGAATTTTGTAACCAAACACTCTAATGTTATTCATTTTTGCCCATTATTGCTTAGAATGAGCAAGAATTAAGAGAATGAGGCCAAGAAAAGTGAACCAAACATGGCCTTAGCCCCCTGCTTAAGAACGATGGTAGCCATTTGTTAAGCAGAAGTTGGGTTACACGTTTTAACCATTGTACTCAGCCATTATCCCCCCATTTTGGGAGTGAGATCGAAGAATGATGCTAACAAAATTAAATTGTTGAAGAATTTTTGTTATAGGATTAGCCCCCAAAGTTCTGAAACAATTTAGTGAAAGATCAGTTCATAAATATTGGAAGAATTTTTTTAGAAAGATTAGCCCCCAAAAGTCTGAAGAGATTTTAGAAACAACCCCCAAATACCTGAAGAATTTTTAGAAAAATTTGACCCCAATATTTTGAACAGATTTTAGAAAGATTAGCCCTCATATTTTGAACAGATTTTGAAACAACCCCCAGATATCTGACCAATATTAATGTTTCGAAATTAAATATAATATTGGGGTGAGATTTAGTTCTGTGGGGCAGAATTTTGTGAAATCAAGTTTTACGAGGCAAGATTGAGGAGTTAACACGAGTTTGTGCAATGCGATCGTTTCGAGCTAGATCGTAAAACGAGGCGAGAGCATGGGACATGAGGAAAGATTTCTTGAGTGAGGCAAAATTGTTGCATGAGGCAAGATTTTTAAGCAAGGTAAGTTTATTGGGCGAGGTGCAGTCAATTTAGGGCTGTGGGGCCAATTTGCAAGTTGCTAGGTTGGAAGAGTGTGAGGCCAAAAAGAGGCTCAAAGTGAGACCATAGGGAGGCAAGGTGTGAGTCTGCAAGATGAATATTACCTTTGTGATTTTGAAAGAAAACAGTCCCCAATTGAAGGTTAATTACACAAGTGCTTGTACATTTGCTAGTTGTGTGATTCCATCTTTTCTAGTTATGTGAAATGATTGTGTTCATATAAGTGTAAGAGTAAGCATAAATCGTAGTTGTGGGTTCGAAACTGCCACTGTAAATGAACTCATAGCTGTGGGTCAGAATTGTGTATGCGAGTGTACAAGTCTGTGAATCATG